ATTTCTCTGATAATGAGTGATGTTGAGCATTTTTTCATGTGTGTGTTAGCCATCTGTATGTCTTCTTTGGAGAAATGTCTGTTTAGATCTTTGGCTCATTTTTTGATTGGGTCATTTATTTTTCTGGAATTGAGCTGCAGGAGTTGCTTGTATATTTTTGAGATTAATCCTTTGTCTGTTTCTTCATTTGCTATTATTTTCTCCCATTCTGAGGGCTGTCTTTTCACCTTGTTTATAGTTTCCTTTGTTGTGCAAAAGCTGGTCCCATTGTTTATTTTGCTTTTATTTCCAATATTCTGGGAGGTGGGTCACAGATTTATGTTGGAGAGTGTTTTGCCTATGTTCTCTGCTAGGAGTTTTATAGTTTCTGGTCTTACATTTAGATCTTTAATCCATTTTGAGTTTATTTTTGTGTATGGTGTTAGAAAGTGTTCTAGTTTCATTCTTTTACAAGTGGTTGACCAGCTTTCCCAGCACCACTTCTTAAAGAGGTTGTCTTTTTTCCATTGTATATTCTTGCCTCCTTTGTTGAAGATAAGGTGTCCACAGGTTCGTGGATTTATCTCTGGGCTTTCTATTCTGTTCCATTGATCTATATTTCTGTCTTTGTGCCAGGACAATACTGTCTTGATGACTGTGGCTTTGTAGTAGAGCCTGAAGTCAGGCAGGTTGATTCCTCCAGTTCCATTCTTCTTTCTCAGGATTGCTTTGGCTATTCGAGGTTTTTTGTATTTCCATACAAATTGTGAAATTATTTGTTCTAGTTCTGTGAAGAATACCATTGGTAGCTTGATAGGGATTACACTGAATCTACAGATTGCTTTGGGGAGTATAGTCATTTTCACAATACTGATTCTTCCAATCCATGAACACGGTATATTTCTCTATCTATTTGTGTCCTCTTTGATTTCTTTCATTAGTGTTTTATAGTTTTCAATGTATAGGTCTTTTGTTTCTTTAGGTAGATATACTCCTAAGTATTTTATTCTTTTTGTTGCAATGGTGAATGGTATTGTTTCCTTAACTTCTCTTTCTGTTTTCTCATTGTTAGTGTATAGGAATGCAAGGGATTTCTGTGTGTTAATTTTATATCCTGCAACTTTATTATATTCATTGGTTAGCTCTAGTGATTTTCTGGTAGGGTCTTTAGGGTTTTCTATGTAGAGGATCATGTCATCTGCAAACAGAGTTTCACTTCTTCTTTATTTGGTCAAATATTATTCTAGAAGTTTCTGTGAAAGCATTTTTTGGATGAGATTAATATTGAAACCAGTGGTCTTTGAGAAAGCAATAATGTGGTGGATCTTACTATCAGTCGATGGCCTTAACAGAACAAAGGCTGATCTTCTCTGAGAGCAAGAAGGAATTTTGACAGAAGACTGCCTTTGGGCTAGAACTGTAACTATTCCCTGGGTCTCCAGCCTGCCAGCCTATTTGGTAGACTTTAGACTTACTAAGCCTCCATAATCACATGAGCCAATTCCTTATAATAAATCTATTTTCACTGAGGAGACAACCTCTTATACAACTGCATCAAAGAATAAAATACTTAGGAACAAACCTGCCTAAGGAGGTAAAAGACCTGTACCCAGAAAACTTTAAGACAATAAGGAAAGATACTGAAGACAACACAGGTGGAAAGACATACTATGTTCATGAATTCAAATAATTAATATTGTTAAAATGATCATACTCCCAAAGGCTATCTACAGATTCAATGCAATCCCTATCAAAATATCAAAGGCTTTTTTTATTTTTTACAGAATTACACCAAGTAATTTTAAAGTTTATACGGAAACACAAAAGACACCCTAATAGCTAAAACAATTTTGAGAAACAAAAATGAAGCTGGAGGAATCAGGCTCCCTTAACTTCAGACTATACTACAAAGTCACAGGCATCAAAACTGTATGGTGTTGGCACAAAAAGAGAAACATAGATCAAATGAAAAGAATAGAGAGCCCATAAATAAACCCACGCACGTATGATCAACTCTTCTATGATAAAAGAGGCAAGAATGTGCAACAGAGAAAAGACAGTCTCTTCAATAAGTGGTGCTGGGGAAACTAGACAGTTACCTGTAAAATAACGTAATTACAACACTCTCTAACACCATATACAAAAATAAATTCAAAATGGATTAAAGACCTAAATGTATGACTGGAAACCATAAAATTCACAGAAGTAACATACACAGAACACTCTTTGGTATAAATCCTAGCAGTCCTTTTTTGGATCTGTCCCCTAAGGCAAAGGAAAAGCAAAAATAAACAAAAGGATGTAATTAAACATAAACGCTTTTTGCACAGCAAAGGAAATCACCAACTAGATGAAAAGACAATCTACTGAATGGGAAAAAATATCTGCAAATGATACGACTGATAAAGGGTTACTACCCCAAAAAAATAAATAGCTCATAAAACAAAACATCAAAAAAAAAAAATTAAAAATGGACAAAAGGCCTAAAGAGACATTTTTCCAAAGAAGACAAACAGATGGCCAACAGGCACTCTCAACATCATTAATCATTGGAGAAATGCAAATTAAAATCATAATGAGATATCATATCACACTTGTCAGAATGACTATCATCAAAAAGAATATAAATAACAAAAGCTGGTGAGGATGTAGAGAAAAGGGAACCCTCGGTGAGAATGTAAACTGGGGTAGCCACTGTGGAAAGTAGTATGGAGGTTCTGCAAAAAACTGCAAACAGAACTACCATATGATCCAGCAATTCCACTCTTGGGTATATATCTGAAAAAAATAAAAATGCTAATCCAAAAAGATACATGCACTCAGTATTCACAGCAGCATTATTTATAACACAACAGCCAAGATATGGAAGCAATCTAAGTGTTCATCAACAAATGATCAGATAAAGAAGTGGTATGTATGCACAACGGAATACTACTCAGCTATTAAAGAATGAAATCTTGCCATCTGAAACAAAACAGATGAACTCGGATGGTATTATGCTTAGTGAAATAAGTCAGTCAGTCAAAGACAAATACTGTATGTTATCACTTACATGTAGAATCTAAAAAATAGAGGATACATTAGTGAGTGTAACAAGAAAGAAGCAGATTCACAGATACGGAAGACAAACTAGTGGTTACCAGCAGGAGAAGACAGGGGGAGGGGAAAAATAGGGACAGGGTACTGACAGGCATAAACTACTATGTGTGAGCTTCCCAGGTGGCAGAGCGGTAAAGAATCTGCCTGCCAATGCAGGAGACTCAAGAGACGTGGGTTTGATTCCTGGGTCAGGAAGATCCCCTGGAGTAGGAAATGGCAACCCATTTCAGTACTCTTGCCTGAAAAATTTCATAGACAGAGGAGCCTGGTGTGCTACAGTCCATGGGGTTTCAAAGAGGCAGACACAAATGAACACACAGACACACACATTATGTATAAAATAAATAGGCTACAAGGATATATTGTACAGCACAGGGAATATAGCTAATATTTTTAATAACCAAATGAAGTATCACCTTTAAAAATGTGAATTACTGTGTTGTATACTTGAACCATATTTTGTACATCAACTATATCTCAATTTTCACAAAAAGGAATGAATGAACAAATGAATAAATAAATCTCTGTCTCTACACACAGACACACACACCCTTTTGGTTCTCTTTCTCTGTAGAACACTGACACATATAAGTATCTAAGTAAGGCACTGATTCTCAACTAGAGATGAGGGAGATGCGGGGTTGATAAAAAGAGCAGAGGGGTTGGGGATAATAGGTAATTTTGAAAAGGTCTGAAGCAGACTTTGTGAATACTGATTCAAAAGCCATTCACAACCTTTGTCTGTTACAGAGATGAAAATGCTAAAATGAATTTTCTACCTTTGCCTGCAGCTAAGGGGTAACCCTGTGAGAGAGTTGTGGCCATATTCTTGAGAATGGCTCCCTTCCTGAATAAAAAGCTAAAGCCTCACTAGGAGAAAGCACCATGCTCTAACAGTTCTCCCTGCCTGGTCTACTAAGGATTCAGATGTAAAAGCAGTGCCTGGAAGAACTGAAGATCAGCTCTGCTGCTGCAACCATTCCCCAGTGTTCCATGCACAGTATTCTCAACAGAAGAGCAAGCAGAATCTGGCTTCTCAGGCCAACCTGTATTGAAAGCTGAGAAACTTTACCTATTTCATGTTAAATATTATTATATAGAGAGCTTTAAAAAATATAGCTGTACTCGTTCTCCACTGAGGCTAGGTAAGGTCAAAATCTTCAGTGGGAAGGACCTGGTCTCGAAGAATTTCCCAAAAGTAATAATTATGAAGCAATGATAATTAAAATTATAATGGTTATGAATCATTGAATTAATAAAGAAGGCTGTAGGGTCTTAAAAAGGAGTCTTTGAAAATATGACCTAAATTTTTTTAATGGCATTCCACTTCAAACATAAGAGTTAGGATTGAGTGGCACTTTGACATCACTGCATTTTGTAATGTAGTATTGCATTCAAAATTTTACCTCAGTTAACTTTTAGTATTTGTTACAGTTGACAGGGCTTCCCTTGTAGCTCAGTTGGTAAAGAATCTGCCTACCATACAGGAGACCTGTGTTCAATTCCTTGGTTGGGAAGATCCCCTGGAGAAGGAACTGGCAACCCACTCCAGTAATTCTTGCCTGGAGAATCCTAGGGACAGAGGAGCCTGGCAGGCTCTAGTCCATGGGGTCGCAAGAGTTGGACACAACTTAGTGACTAAACCACCACCACCACAGTTGAGAACTAAAGAGTTCCTTAGAGAACTAAAAATCACTATGCAATAAAACCTCACTAACAAATCATTAACAAGGAACTTATGGGCCAAGTTACTGAATGTAAAAGAAATGCCCAAATTACCTAATAATTTTTAAAGTCAACAGTATTATATCTTTGAGTTTATCTATGATGCAGTTTTTAAAATATTTTCTCCAGTTCTACCTATAAGAAAAAAAATCAAGTGCTATTGAATCATGTTTTGTGCTTCATAGTTTTGTACTGACCTTTTTTTTCTCCAGTGTAGGGCACATAGTCTTCCCTGTCCTTATGCTCCAAAGCTTCCTTCTCCAGATATGAAAGGAGGTGTTCTCGATCAAATGGCCCTGTGGCAGACTTTGATGTCTGGTTCTTCTGCCGGAACCCTGCAGGCAGAAGGGCGTTCTGCCAAAGAGAATGAATCAGCCATTATGACCAGCAAGAAGACTAATGCTGTATGCATCCAGATGTTACCCATCTAAGAAAGAATTATAGACTAGAATGAGATGTAGGCATTAAAGACTTCATTACAGGCTTCGAGGGCAGCAACATAAAAGTATTCCAAACGAAGTTTTTTAAAATTAGGTAGAATTAACTTACACTATTATTTAAATAGGCACATTCGCCTCTTCTTCAGAGAATATTCTACTAGCAGTAAACATCCTTTATTTTTTAAGTGTCCTGGGACAGTAATAAAAAATAGTTTGCGATGCTTAATACCAGCTCAACATATATGTATATACAGAATACATTGTAACATTCACTGCAAAAGAATGCTAAATGACTATATACATCATCAGTTCAATTCAGTTCAGTTGCTCAGTCGTGTCTGACTCTTTGCAACCCCATGAATCGAAGCACGCCAGGCCTCCCATAGTCCTTCATAATGTCTGCTATTTCATCATAAAGATTTTTTTCATAAGAAAAATATGTATACATACAGTGTATCTATACAGGATATCAGGCAATTAACGCTTACTTGTTTGTGTTTAAACGCAATGTGTTCAACTTCTATGTGTACGCACGTGTGTATACATCGGCACTAGGATGTATTTGGAGCAACCACTGTCGTTGGCTACTCATGCACTAAGACGCTCAGAGATTCTTGCGGCAAGAGTTATATCCCCAGGTTTCCACATGGGTACAGCCTTTCCAGTGCACTGACAGCACTGACAGCGGGGGAGAGGGGCAGGCGATGGACTAAAGTTGCCTCTTTTAGGTCCTACTCTGTATTTTCACTAAGCCCGAGAATAACAAGCAGTGACTAGACAATGTGACGGTCATCCTTTTGCTTTGTCAAAAACCAAAGAGGTGATACTACCTTGTCTCACAGTCCTTAAGTATTTCTTGCTTTGAAAATGGGAGGCGAACAAAAAGTCACATAAAAGGGCCAACCTAAAGTACCTCCCAATATCCGTGAGGATGTTGAATCTCCTGGCTGTTATAAGATCATTTTTCATTGGGGTAATCTTATATGGATAATGATAAAAAGAAATTTTCATTGTATAACTAAAAATATGGTATGGCACTTCAACTCTGGCCATTTGCTGAAATCCACAATAATTTTCATAAAATTCATCTTTTGTGTTTTCCTCATGTAACGTTACATGTATTACACAGAAAGTTCATCTTTCAAGATGAAATACAAAAGAGATCTGTTCCTAACCATGCACCAAAAATGTTTCTACAACACAAAACTGTCTATAAGAACAACAACAACAAAAAACCCCACAAGATTTCTACCCTCTGGCTTTGAAATCAAGGCAAGAGCTTCACATGAGGAATCCATTCCCAACCAACCATCCTACCATTTTTACTTCCTAAAGAACTGTCTAACTTTCCTCCATCTCTAACACAATTACTCTGGTCTACACTATGATCCAAGCTGGGAGGGAATATTGCATAGGCCTCTCAACTGGTCTCCCTGGATCAGTTGCCAAATACTCTTCAACCTTCACTCCCACCCCATTCCCCCCTACCCTAGAGGTTATCCCAGCCTCATCTCACACAATCTCTCCATTCGAGCTACATCAGCCCTTGTTCCTCCCTTTTACCTGCCATACACCTGCCTTCCCTGGGATGCTCTGCCCGTTCTTTTTTGTTATTCGTTTTTCAGAATGCAGATTCATCCCTCCACGGAAAGCTTTTCCTAACCTCCCGTTATTATGCTCTTATACGGCATGATTATTTGATTAATGTCTAACTCTCCCTACTCCTACCAGCCTGTCTCATGAGGGCAAAGACCATGTTTGTTTAGATCACTCTTGCATCCCTAAGCCTAGCATAGTACCTGAGATATATAGGTTGTTTCCCACCCCCAATAATTACTGAATAAAGACTTTACAACACTCAGCATCTCTGATCTTCATTGTGGCACATGGGATGTTTAGTTGTGGCATGTGGGATATTTAGCTGCCACATGTGGGACCTAGTTTCCTGACCAGGGATCGAACCTGTGCCCCTTGCATTGAAAGCATGGAGTCCTAGCCACTGTACCATCAGGGAAGTCCCTGAATAAGGATTTGAGAATATTTTTTAAGAAAAGATTTTTTTGATGTTGACCATTTTAAAGTCTTTACTGAACGTGTTACAGCACTGCTTCTGTTTTATATTCTGATTCTTTTGGCCTCAAAGTATGTGGAATCTTACCTACCGGATGAGGGGTCAAACTCACACCTCCTGCATTGGAAGGCGCAGTCTTAACCACTGGTTCACTAGGAAAGTCCTGAGGACATTTTTAAAGAAAAATGCTCATTAAGGCAAATTAATACAAGCTACTTCCCTTCACCATCAATAGGACCTTTATACATATACTGCTATTTCATGGCGGTAGCAACAGAGTTGCAGTGTTCCACCTGCCTATTCAAGCCCATATTAAACATACAGGTTTTAAATGATACATTAGCTGGGATCCTGACTCCTTAAATACAGTCTTTGACCACAAAATAAATGAGTGCTATCTGACTTTGGAGGCCAAAAGCTAAGCTTTATTAGAAGTACACCTTAATCAAGTAAGTTAATAGATCATAATTACTTAATAGATAAAAACCTATTTTATCTATTAATAGATAAAAATCTCATTAAAATTACATGCCTCTCCCTTACAGTGAAATGCTGTTGTAATAATTAATTCCCAGTTTAGAATTGAAGAAACAGCTTTTGCCTAGACTGACTGGCTGTCTTTTGGAGACAGAAGTTTTCAAAAAAACAGTTAAGTTGGCAAATAGGTAAACTGAATGTAGTATAAGGAAAGTAAAATAGCCCTCCAAAATATTTAAAATGAGATATCATCTTCGCATGCATCAAGCTGTCAATAAACATCGCTGTTCTTCTAGTCTCAACTAATAGTACCAGAAGTGGGGGAATCACAACTAGGATTGGGGCATTCACAAAATACATCCAAAAGTTAGAACTCAAGTCTCTCCATACAAGAAGCAGGCCATGGATTTCCAAGTAAGAAAATAAAAGCCACCAGCTTTTAGACCTATAGCATAAGGCACAAATTAAAGGGGACTCACTGTCATTTAACAGAAAGACCATTAGACTCTACCAGGCATCAATCAGGTAGTGAAGGATCTAGTCTCGGGTCTTTCCATAATTATAAAACTGAGGCAAGTCACCTAACTTTTTGTTTTCTATCTGTGAAACAGAGGACAAGAGCTAGATCAATTTTTCTCAACTAAGGGTGTTTTTGTTCCCCAGGGGATGACTGGCAATATCTGGAAGTATTTTTGATTGTCACAACTGGCGGGAGAGCATGTTAACCACATTTTGAATTTTCTGTATTTTATGATGCTTTGACATTGTGGGGGCCTTGCTAATCCTGGAAAGACTGCCCCTCGCAGGGCTAACCAATTCCTAGGGATAGAAAACAACTCTGTCTGTCATCTGTGCCCTTCATATGAAAACCAGAAACTATACCCCAACCACCTCTTTTACCTCTCACACATGAAGCCAATACTTGCTCTGCCCTAAATCGGCCCAGGACCAGATACCAGATAAACTAGAGGCCACTCCTGTAGCCCAGAGACACTGAAACTATTCAAACTGTCCAATTCTAAGCTTGCTCACACTTGCTTACCCTGTCTCACCTATTCTTTCCCTTGGAAAGCACAATAAAAGTTCTAGGCCATACTTGCTCCTCATTCCTTCTGCCTCCTGGCCAAACCACTGCTTCCCCTGGCGGCCCTGTGTGGTTTGGGCTGCCTTCTGCTGTTGGGAACTGTAAGTAATAAACTCTTCTTTCAAGGAAGTTATTTTTACATGGCATCTTACCAGACCTGATTAAAACAAAATCCCAGGTACATTTTAAAACAGGAGGGTGTGCTATTAGTATGTAGTGAGCAGAGGTCTAGGATGCTGCTGAACATCCTATAATGCATCAGACAGCCCACAGCAAAGAATTACCCAGCCCCAAATGTCAACAGTGCCAAGGTTGAGAACTCTGGACTAGATGAAAGCTTATGTTTCTACTGTTTGATTCAAATAGGTCTGACAGGTTGAACTGCCTGGAGAAGATTCTGCTGTGACATGCAAAAGAGCACTGTAATTCTGAGTTATCCCACAGACTTAGGTGCACTAAAAAATCTTCTTTACAATAACAATTATGGTTAAGGGATTTGATCTGTAGTACAGACACATTAACCAAGTGCTGAAGTAATGCTGAGAACAGGAGTGTAATGCTCAATAAAAATTAAAAAATATTCTAGCAGGAAATAAATGTGTGGTAGTGACAAGAACACTTTCATAAAATAAACTCTACCGCAATCCATAAAAGGCACTAAAAATCAATGTCTTGGTATAATATAACATGGTAAAGAAAAGAAGCCCAGCAAACAGTCATTACCTTCAGATTAGGGAGTCATAAACTCAGTGTTCTCCCCTCACTGCCACTTACCTTCACCCCCCAACTGTTGCTGCCCCCCAAAACATACCAGGGATTAATAATTCAAGGATCAAGGGTCTCTACCTTAGCCTTAAGTGATGTATAAGATAAACAACATCCATTTTGCAAAACAAAACATATATTCAGGTCTGCTTTACAAGGACTGCAGTACTGCCCAGAGTCTACTTAGATCTATTCTACCAACGACTAGAAACTTTGATCCAGTTTGTTCAGCATCTTTCAGAAAGGTAAGAATTAGATTTAAGGTCATGAAGAACCTTCTAGAGACACTTTCTACACTGCAACCATCCTGATATAGAAGCCCTGAAGAGGCACAAAGGCTGGCATATGCTGTATTTTACCCAAAACATTATTCCCTGCCCAGAGAGAAAAGATTTCTAAAAAGGGAGAAAATTTCCCTTATGTTTGAAAATAAAAACATTGGAAAAATGCTTAGACTAGTTATGTTATTAAAGATACAAGGCAAAAGTGGGGGAACTGAGAAGGAGGCAAAAAGTTCATTTGGATAAAGAGGAGGAGTGGGAGAGCAGCGTCAGGGAAAAGTCATGAAAGAGATAAGTGCTCAAAGGCAGCTACTTAGTATCAAAGGGTTTGAAAAATTGTTTCATTTCTCTTTATGACCTAGCACCTACCTCAGGGTCAAGATCATCCAGAACAGTTTCCAGTTGTTTCAGTTCTATTTCTGATAGATTCCCAAGGAGTTCGTCTTCATCCAGGTCCTTGTATTTTTCTAAGTCCTTCCGGAACGACAGTGCCATGGTTTGCAGTAGAGGAAGTCACTTAATTTTTGCTATCCAGTACAGTGAGAAGTGATTTTTTTTTTCTCAAAACTATGCAAAGAAAACAAAAACATTTAAAATGTTATGTCATGTCCACCTTACTTCGATCTATTCTAGGTTAAATGAAATGTAATTTCCATGTGTCATAAATTCTTTGACCATATATCACGCACTACCCTCCTCTATGAATCATTAAATGCCTTTACCTTTCGCCTTTTGTTGACAAAAAGCAACCAAATGGAAACAGAAAGCCACAACTAGGAAGAAAGAGGTGAAGGAGCGAATAAAATTCAAATCCATTACAACAGTTTCTTGATAGTACTTAAGATTTCCTGATAACTGAGTTTTAGGGGGGAAGAACTTATGTATCAAAATATAATTTTTTCCATCAATGGTTTTCCAATGATTGCTATCAGAGTACTTTGTTTAAGCACAGTATGTTTGAGGTATGCTTGTTTTGCTGTAAACTGCTTAGAAGAACATTATTTTCTGACTCAGTGTAGAGGGGCTATTAATATACTCTCCACAGGAGAAGTGACCATTGGAAAAAAATGAGAAGGTGCATTTAAAAAATATTTTTGATAAGGCATTTTTTCCTTCTAATTTATATTTTGCTGCATTATGAAAATAATACATTTATTTGGCAAAGTAACCTAGGTTCCAAGTTGAAATAAAATTCTGAAGAAAGTGTACTGATTATTTTTTAAATGTGAAATATTATATATATTCTAAACAATACATACTAACATTCAGGAAAAGGCATCTTTAAAGGAAAAAAAAAAAAACAAAAAACAGCATTCTGAAAATGCTCTAGTAAAACACTCAATACCATGTTGTGATATGTCATCCACTGACCGGAAAGATAGGTCAGGTGGGTCTGGTGATAGGAAAGGATCTTCACCATTTCCTGACCATGTCCATCCCTCCCGAACAGCTCTGAAGTGGCTCAAAAAGCAGCATCTTTCCAGACACAGTAGGACTGCACCACAGGAAAACAACACTTAAAATGTGTACCGCAAGAAGTGTGAAATAAAAATGAAGTATTTCTATAAGTTCTAGCCACACATGTGGATAATTTGTCTCATAAATGTTTCTGTGTGATTAAGAAACAATCCTGAGACTTAGCGATGTGGCTAAACTTTTCTCGGCTGTAAAACACCCAGTACTTCAAAGCTGGGATACACTTCCTACTCCCTTCTCCCAATTTTTCCTAACTTAATATTTTTACTAATACATTTTCCTCCTCAAACTAGTAACACTTTATGGATCCTTTTATGTGTTTTCATCTCCTACGGAGAAAGGAAGGTTTACTACAGGGGTCTGTCAGCTAGCAAACATCTGGGTCCAATAACAAGCAAATAAATGGAGCCGTACTTATGCAGATGTTAAATTAGAGGCATTTTGTATAACAGCCCTAGATGGGTCTGGTTTACACCTGTTCTGCTGGCACCTCATCTGGTTTAGCAGCAACCCTGGATTATTTTTCGCTTTTTTGAGCACACAATTATTATCATTATTGTCATTACTAAGCTTGGTAAACCTCCCCTGTACTTCCAACTTGAAGACCAGGGAGTATATCTTCTCAATTAAAAACAATAAAGTTTGTGGAGACTATTCAATAGAAGGTATTTGCGCTTTCAAATATATTAACCATAAAATGCAATTTAAAGAAGGTGGCAGGTAATTACAGGGGAAAACACAGAAAACATTTTGAAAAAATACTTCTTTCATTAAAGTATCAGTGATATGGTATTTGAGACAGAAAAGGGTAAGAAAATGATAAAAGTACATGAATATGTACTAAGAGTAATCAGCTTTCACTATTTTTTAATGTTTGATCAATTCAAAAAGTCTTTAATATAGTTTAACATAATTTTGAGGTTTATCAGTTCAATTCAGTTGCTCAGTCATATCTGACTCTTTGCGACCCCATGGACTGCAGCATGTCAGGCCTCCCTGTCCATCACCAACTCCTGGAGTTTACCCAAACTCATGTCCATCGAGTCGGTGATGCCATCCAACCATCTCATCCTCTGTCCTCCCCTTCTCCTCCCGCCTTCAATCTTTCTCAGCATCAGTGTCTTGTCCAGTGAGTCAGTTCTTCACATCAGGTGGCCAGAGTATTGGAGTTTCAGCTTCAGCATCAGTCCTTCCAATGAATACTCAGGACTGATCTCCTTTAGGATGGACTGGTTGGATCTCCTTGCAGTCCAAGGGACTCTCAAGAGCCTTCTCCAATACCACAGTTCAAAAGCATCAATTCTTCAGCGCTCAGCTTTCTTCATTGTCCAACTCTCACATCCACACATGACTACTGGAAAAACCATAGCTTTGACTAGATGGACCTTTGTTGGCAAAGTAATGTCTCTGCTTTTTAATATTCTGTCTAGGTTGGTCATAGCTTTTATTCCAAAGAGCAAGCATCTTTTAATTTCATGGCTGCAGTCACCATCTGCAGGGATTTTGTGGCCCCCCAAAATAAAAGTGTCTCACTGTCAACTGTTTCCCCATCTATTTGCCATGAGGTTTATAGCATACAATAAAGCCAACATCTTGCTCAATAAATATTTTAAAGAAATAAGTATTAATTATTTTGAGCATCCCCTCACCTTACTCTCAAGTGTTCCAGCTTGGGCCATAAAATAAACGGTCATCCTATAAAAGTGGAGCTCAGCTGCTCACTGCTCAAAGGCCAATAAAGAGGCAAGGCTGGTGAGAAGGACACTTTGCTTTATTTTGGATGCCAGTAGCTGAGGGTGGGGGTGCTGTCCAAAGACAACCCCCACTCTCCCGGCCAACAATCAGTGGGCTAGAGCTTTTATAGGCCAAGGGAGGGGGCTACATACAGAAACAGCACAGTCACCTCTGACAGGCATCTGAAATTGGTCATTGGTGGTCTGACCAGCATCATCTTGATGTTTTAACTACAGTTAATCTTTAGTTCCAGGGCTGGCTGGTTTCCATTTCTTGAGGTCAGCTCTTGGAATTGTGTCAACTTAAGTCATGGCTAACAATCTGATCATCATGTAATTAACTTCTCCACCTGGTGGGTTTCCAGTATCTATGACAGCTCACAGGACAAGGCTCAAAACATTATCCACAGCCCCTGTGTGTGTGTCAGTCAGTCATGTCTGACCCTCTGCAATCCCATGGACTCTAGCTTGCCAGGCCCCTCTGTTCCTGGAATTTACTGTAGCTTAAGGTAAAGAATCTGCCTGCAGTGCAGGAGACCTGGGTTCAATCTCTGGGTCGGGAAGATCCCTGGAGAGGGAATGACTACTCACTTCAGTATTCCTGACTGGGGGATCCCAGGGACAGAAGAACCTGGTGGGCTACAGTCTACCGGGTAGTAAAGAGTCAGACACAACTGAGTGACTAACACATACATACAGCCCTTGAGGAGAAACTCAAAGTCCTTGACTTTGCTTAATGACGAAACTAGTGTTATTTGGCCTCCTGTGACTGTTTTCCTTTGTTTCTGCATGTTCTCACTTCTCTGATTAAACTTAGTCTTTAGCTAAATAAGTTTCCACAGGAAAAAAACAGGTAGAGGACATGAAGGACAATATCCATAGGGTCCTGCTCCATTTCAACCTTACTAATAAGGTACCGTAATGGGCAATATGATAGGAATGAGGCATGAGGGGCAAAGGCAATGTTACATGCCACTCAGGATCTATAGGTTTGGAACATGACATCCCTTAAAGTGACTGAATAGATTACTCCAAGAGATGGCTTCTTATCCCAAAGTAAAACCTGTCACACAAAGCACTGAATAGTATTGCTTAAAGATTAATAAAATGAACACCATGAAAACATACAACCCAGACTCAGAAAGAGAACATTACTAGTACTCTCATGTTCCCCTTTCCATCTCTTCCTCTAGTAGTAGTAGCCAGTAGAAGTACTGAATTTTTTTTTTTTAAGTACTGAATTTTGAATTAATCATTCTCTTACTTTCTTTACAGTTTTACCTCAAATGTACATACCTTTAAACAGTTTTTTTTAATAAATTTTTTATTTATTTATTTATTTATTTTTTTTTAACATTTTTATTTTTATTTATTTGGCTACATAGAGTCTTAGTTGTGGCATGTGGGATCTAGTTCCCTAACCAGGGATCGAACCCAGCCCCCCTGTATCAGGAGCGCAGAGTCTTAGCCACTGGACCACCAGGGAATTCCCTGAACAGTTTTAATTTTGCTATTTTTGGTACATATACATATGTGGACTTGTACATTATGTATCCTATCTTTTTCCTGATATATTTATTTAATTTAAAAATTTCTTACAATGCTGTGTTGGTTTCTGCCATACAACAATGCAAATCAGCCATAATCATACAAACATTCCCTCCCTCCCCTCCCCCATCCCATCCCTCCAGGTCATCACAGAGCACAGACTGGGCTCCCTGTGCTACACAGCAACTTCTCACCAGCCAGCCATCCCACACCTGATAGTGCATATATGTTGATGCTCATCTCACTCTCCCTCCCCACATTGTGTCCACAAGTAGGACACACAACACAAGCTTTTTATACTCAATGTTGCTTTGAGTTCATATTTAGAGCTGAATTCTTTCATTTTCATTTCTATATAATATTCCACTGTATAAATGAACATCTGAAGACCTGTAGTCTTTCCGGCTCTATTTTTCTTCTGTGAAATAGGCTGCTTATTGCCTCTTTTCCTGGTATACATGTGCAAGAGTTTCTCCAAGTTGTCCAAAGCTAGGAATGGAATTCCTGGGACAAGGGTATGGTATTACCAACTTTACTAGGTAATGTTAAACTATTTTTAAAGTAATTGTACCAATTTAGATTCATGGAAGATTCAGTGCATGACAATTCATGTTGCTCATCCTTGCTAACTGCTGCTATTATCAGAGGTGGGGTATTTTTACCCACTCTGGTAGATATGAAATGATATTTCATTGTGGCTTTAATTTGCATTTTGCTGAGTTGTAATGAGACTGTGCATCTTTTTATGTTCTTGGCCTTCGTCACTTAGACACAGTGGTGTTCCTTAGTCTATGAAGAACCTCTGCCCATTTTTATATTGTGTTATCTTTAAAAAACAGGATAGATGCTCTTTACCATATTCTGGATACTAATCTTTGTCAGTTATGCATTTCAAATCTCTTCTCCCATTTTAACTCTTACTAATTTATTTATTATTTTTTTAATGAAAAAATGTCAGTGTTTATTTACACATTGCATACTGCAAAAAGCTTGAAGGAAAAAAAAAGAAGTTTCAACAGGAAGTTAATGAGCAAATTCTGCCTGTTTCGAGCACTTGGGGGAGATTGAATCTCGGCGTTCTTAGAGGCTGGAATCCTGATGGAAGACCTTCAGATGTTCTAATCACTGGCCAAGGAAGTGCCATACATGATCTTCTTCATTACTTCCTTTATTCAATGAAAACGACACCGATTCAACTAATGATCTTGCTTCCTCTTGAGAGCAATGGAAAGGGCTATCACATACCTGCACATTTGTGAAATTTATAGCCCCGCCATCACACTTGTCCATAAGCAATGCTTTCCAACATTCATGAGTAGATTTAATGATTTCAAGAGCAAAAGCCTTGTTCTTGAATTCTCCATTAAAAGCAAACTGGTTTTCCGGTTTTCCCTCTGGTATCTTATAAAATCTAAACCAATTAAGCGTAGCTTCTAAGTAACCAGGTTTGTACTTCTTAATCTTCAATATCATGAAACTTTGAGGCTTCAGGATCATTCACATTGATAGCAATTAACTTCCAATCTGTTTCACCCTGATCAATAAGAGCCAAAACTCCAAGGATCTTCACATGAACAACTTCTCCACGAGAAAGAACCTTTGAGCCTATTTCACAAACATCAATAGGATCATTATCTCCACAGCAGTCTGTGCTCTTATCTTTTCGATGGGGATCTTCCCAAGTCTGAGGGAGGGCACCATAATTCCATATATAACCCTTGTGAGGAAAGATATTTGCCACATAGCGAAGCTTGCCATCCTTCACATCTTGTTTAATGGGATTCAATGGTTCCTTCGTGGCAATCTCCATTTTAGCATTTGTCCACCGAGGTACTTCCACAACCATGTTAAACACATTCATTTACTCCTGATCACTAGGAGTGTACTTCCAGTCTGCTTTTCTTCTCTCAGGCTAAAATGCACATGACCTCATATTCATCATTTCGTGCTCTTTTTGTAGGAATGCCATTTTCCTCTTCAGAGTCTACCTTCAGAGGAATATCATGAAAGGGGGAAATGTAGTGACTAGCTACATTCTTGAAAAAGAGGCAGTAATCGGGAGAGTGGGGCTGGCCGCGCTCCTCCGTGCGGTACAGGGCCATGGTCCGACGCGGCCCGGGCCCTGCGCTGGCTCCCTGCGGCAGGCGGGTGGCGGCGGCAGCGGCAGCGCCCACCGGCCAGGCCCAGCTGGTCTAACTCTTACTAATTTATTAAGGTATTTCTTGGGGGAAACATATCAAAGTGTTTTTCAGTTATCTAAGGAATTTACTTCCTTGGCTTGTTTTTTCCTTTTCAAAGCAATGCAAAGGCATTTCCTTTAAGTTCAGACTATGAAATTTTGCCAAGACGTAAGAACTTCCAGGTAGTTCATCCTACCTAACGTTGCTCAAAACTCACCAAAAGGGTTCAGATTCCTAACTTGATTGTACCTCTCATCCTTCACTGAGGATTAGCTGTGTAGTGACAATATGCCAAGCATTAGCAAGAGAAGCTTTGAACTTCTTAGGAAGGGAAGCTCTGGAAGCTGTGCTTAGCTCTGCTTTCTGTCCACGGATAACATGTCCTCTCTTGTTTGCCCTTTGACATTGGAAGGAGAACAAATGCTAAATGGTTTCAACCAGTGTCCTAGAGAAGGACACTGACTCTACAGGAACTTCTTTTAATCACCAAGCTAATGTAAAATCCATTTCCTAAAAACACACTTCATAATTTAAACAGTACAGGAATAGATTTTTTTTAACATAATAGTCTCATAGTCATTTTTTAAAAAAAGGTTGTATATAAGCAAAAATTAGTTTTGCCAATTAAGTAAACTTTTAGGCAGAAGTAGAAAATGTTTAAACTTGAAATTCTGGTATGATCAAACTCTTTAGTTCTCTAGCCTTGACTCATTTTTTGGAGCAAAGCAGCAGTCTTCAAGTTTTAGAGTGACTCAGAACCCCCTGGAGGGCTTGTTAGAATGTCACCCTGAGGCCCCACCCCACGTTTCCTGACTGAGTAGGCTCAGGGGTAGGGCTGAAAAGCTGCATTTTTAACAAGCTGCCAGGCGGTGCTGATACAGTCGGTCTGGAACCAGGCTTTCAGAGTCCTGCTCTACTCTAGGGGAACCAATTGTATAAACTGACAGCCAGACCTCTCTCCTCCTGGCAGTCTATCTTGTAATACTCACAGGCTGAAGAACTTTGTTAAAATAGTCCCCAAAGTCTAGAGGAACTGCTGCCAGGATACAGTTTCCTTTTCACTCTGCCACTGCTCTCCAATGGATTTCAGATAGTGGAAGCAATACCAAGGAACATAAGGAAACTCCTGAAATATTCTGGGCCAAAAGCCTTCATATCATTAACCGACTTCTTTTCAGTTATTACCTGTCTCTAGAATCCTCCTTTTTCACACATGACTTCGTGATGGACTGTCAGCCATCTCATTTGACAGATGTTTTAAATTTTAGCTTTCTATTTAGATTTTTTAAATAGCTATATTCTAGATCTTTGGGATCACTTTAAATGAAGCACTACTGTGAGATTCCAGATGCCATATTTACATTTATATTTATCATTGCATCAGCACCAGGTAGAACTGCTTTAATTGTTCTTGTGTAAAATTCTTAAAGAGATGGGAAAACCAGACCACCTGACCTGCCTCCTGAGAAATCTGTATGCAGGTCAAGAAACAACAGTTAGAACTGGACATGGAACAACAGATTGGTTCCAAATTGGGAAAGGAGTATGTCAAGACTGTATATTGTCACCCTGCTTATTTAACTTATATTCAGAGTACACCATGAGAAATACAAGCTGGAATCAAGGTTGCCAGGAGAAATATCAATAACCTCAGATATGCAGATAACACCACACTTAGAGCAGAAAGCAAAGAACTAAAGAGCCTCTTGATGAAAGTGAAAGAGGAGAGTGAAAAAGTTGGCTTAAAGCTCAATATTCAGAAAACTAAGATCATGGCATTGGGTCCCAACACTTCATGGCAAATAGATAGGGAAACAATGGAAATAGTGGCTGACTTTACTTTGCTGGGCTCCAAAATCACTGCAGATGGTGTCTGTAGCCATGAAATTAAAAAACGTTTGCTCCTTGGAAGAAAAGTTATGACCATCCTAGAGAGCATATTAAAATGCAGAGACATTACTTTGTCAACAAAGGTCCGTCTACTCAAAGCTGTGGTTTTTCCTGTAGTCATGTATTGATGTGAGAGTTTGACTATAAAGAAAGTTGAGCACTGAAGAACTGATGCTTTTGAATGTGGTGTTGGAGAAGACTCTTGAGAGTCCCTTAGACTGCAGAGAGATCCAACCAGTCCATCCTAAAGGAGATCAGTCCTGAATATTCATTGGAAGGGCTGATGCTGAAGCTGAAACTTCAATACTTTGGCCACCTGATGTGAAGAACTGACTCACTGGACAAGATACTGATGCTGGGAAAGATTGAGGGCAGGAGGAGAAGGGGAGGACAGAGGATGAGATGGTTGGATGGCATCACTGACTCAATGGACATGAGTGTGAGTAAACTCCGGGAGTTGGTGATGGACAGGGAGGCCTGGCATGCTGCGGTTCATGGGGTTGCAGAGTCGGACAAGACTGAGTGACTGAACTGAACTAATGGAGACACTGACATAGAGAACAGACCTGTGGATGTGGTGGGGGGAGGGGAGGAAGGAGAGGCTATCTATGTAAAATAGATAGCCAATGGGAATTTGCTATGTGACTCAGAGAACTCAAACAGGGGCTCTGTAACAACCTAGAGAGGTGGGATGGGGAGGGAGGTGGGAGGGAGGTTCAAGAGGGAGGGGATATGTGTATACCTATGGCTGATTCATGTTGATGTTTGGCAGAAACCAACAAAATTCTGTAAATTAATTATCCTTCAATTAAAAAATAATCAAAAAATTCTTCCAGTAAAAAAAAAAAAAGACAAAAAACCCCCCACAACTGGAATTACATGATTCAGAGTTATATTCTTTCAATATATGAGGAGTTAACCCTCATTTCATCACTATTTCAATAGGGCAGGCTCTGGGTTCAGCCTCTTATCTTTTCTCTCTTTAATGCACACATGTGGTCATGTGCTCTGGTTCAAATTTCTAAGTCTCACAGTATCTTCAATGGGATAAGGTAAAGTACAGTGTCATTTGGGCTGCTGCCTATTTTTGTAAATAACGTTTTATTGGAACATACTCACAGTCACTCTCTTATGTATTGTCTGTGGTTGCTCTTGTGCTACAATGGCAAAGTTGAGTAAATGCAACAGAGACCCATATGGTATGTCAAACCTGAAGTATTTACCATCTGGTCCTTCAAAGAAAACATTTGCCAACTCCTGACCTACCAGATAAAATCGAAACTCCTCAATATGAGATATGAAGTTTACAAACGGATCCCAGCTAGCTTTCCAACATCATCTCTGGCTGCTGACCATCACATAGCCTATATGCCAAACAGACCCTAAAGTTTTAGGTCTCTATGCCTTTGCTTATTTCCCTCTCTCCACAATGAATGCACTCTTTCTCATCTTCCTCTGTCCTCAAATCCGTACATATTCTTTAAGGCCTAAGTAAACGTCATACAAATCATCCTGGACATTTTCTCTGCTCTCCATTCCCACCCCCAGGAAAGATCGGTATCTTCAACAGATAAGATCAACATATGAGGATGAAAAGAGAATGTTTCCCAAAAAAGCAGAACAGATGACCCTAGAATGGTAGTAACATAACCACAGAAAGAAGGGGTTGCCATGCAGATATAAGAAAATGGGGCTCATTAAGCAAGATTTGGCTGTGTTCATTCAGCACAAGGGAGGCTCGGTATCCTGGTCAGCAGATATGATTGGCTAGTTCCCATTGCAGTTCTATGCCTTGTACGAAGCAGCTCAGATGGCCAATGTGTAATGTCATTCAACATTTACTCAGTTCCCCTTATTCTTCTCTGTGCTCAACAAGTAATCTAATTAAAACTTGGCTATTCACATAGCTTTCCTCACTGTAAATTAATATTAACTGATGTTTTGAATGAAGTACCAATCTTTTATGAGCATGGTTAGTATGGGCCATTTTTTAAGAAATCAGGCACCAACTGATGGATTGAAGTCGGGTCTCTGCAAAAACAAAGCTGAGGACCACCACATGAAATTCTATTCCAGGGTTGGCTGGCCAACTACTTATAAAGACACCCTCTATCTCAAGTCAAAGCAACAATGACAGTGTATTCAGTCATTGTCTGTCTGTCTTGCTGGACACTGTGAGTCCCTCACAGAAGAGATTCTCTCCCAGAGCTCATTTCTTACTGGGATGCCATCAAGAGGCACAATACTTGGTTATCCATAGGTAAGACAATTTTGATTTAACTGGATCACGTATCACTTCCTCTTTCCTTTTTTAAGCCCCTCTACCTGCCCCTTTCCATACTTTCATGGGGTTCTCGAGGCAGGAATACTGAAGTGGTTTGCGGTTCCCTTCTCCAGTGGACCACATTCTGTCAGAACTCTCCCATGACCCATTTGTCTTAGGAGGTGGCCCTGCACGGCATGGTTCATAGCTTCACTGAGTTACACAAGGCTGTGATCCATGTGATCATTTTGTTTAGTTACCTGATGAGTCAACATATTGGAAAAGACTTTGATGCTGGGAAAGATTGAGGGCAGGAGGAGAAGGGGGTGACAGAGAATGAGATGGATGGATGGCACCACCGAATCAATGGACATGAGCTTGAGCAAACTCTGGGAGATAGTAAAAGACAGGGAAACCTGGCGTACTGCAGTCCATGGGACCCCAAAGAGTCAGACACAATATAGTGACTGAACAACAACTAACAACTACCTGTCCCAGATATCTACAATCTCCTTGTTCCCAAATTGG